CACGCGTTCCTTCCTAGAAGCCTTGGACAAATATGGCTGGTGGTATAGCGGCTATTTGGGTCGCACTTTTTTGTGTTTTAGCGGGATTTCATACCACTTCATCCCGTTCATTCGTTGTAGACTGGAAGAACGACGTTTTCCTTAAGGATGGAGAGCCATTTCGCTACATTTCTGGTAGTTTTCACTACTTTCGTGTACCGAGGTTTTATTGGCAAGACAGGCTATTGAAAATGAAAGCTGCAGGTCTTAATGCAGTGCAAACGTGAGTAGAAATCATGCGTCTTTCCACCATGATTTAAATTTTTGTTGTATAACAAGCTTACAATTTTACTGCCCTTAAGAAACGTTACCTGCAAGAGAACGAGACTCAATTCCGAAAGGAAAGACAGTAGTTTTCAGCAGATCAAATTATTTCGTGCACTGAGCTAGTATGCTTACAACGTCAACAGTTAATCCTATAGATGTCACGGTGGAAGTATCTATAATTTCGGCTCTCTAAAAAAAGCCATGGGAAGTTTAGTTTGGCCGACATAATTTTGTCTATTTCAATCTTTTTAAAATCATTTTCACGGGTTCAGACAAAATTACCTGCACGGATTCGCCTTCTCCCTGGGGAATCAGGCAAGTTTTTTGAACGGCAAAAAGCGCAGAATTTGCACAGTACTAAATTTGCACACGAATTGCAGGTAAAATGTTCGTCCGTTCAAAACTTTTCCGGACCCCCTAGCTGTAAGCGGGGTTTTATTTTCATTTGGTTGTCAATTCGACTAATTGATTTCAGAAATTCAAGTCCTTTGCGGGTAGTATGACCTTGTTTGGATAACAGTTCATCGTATGATCCTATTAATAAACAATTATGCGTAAACAAAACTGTAGAAATATTATGTAGCTTTTAGATGCCTGCTCTTTATTGATATCACCAAATATGAGGGTTTCATGTCTTTTTTACTTGGATTGCTGTCCTTAGCAGTTTTATCTATTGGTTTAAAAAGAAAGAAAGTTAAAAAAGTAAGAAAGATTCAAAACCCACAAAGAAATTGATGAAGAGGAGGACATTTAAAATTGACTTTGAGAGGAATAGATTTCTTAAAGATGGCAAACCCTTCCTGCTGATCTCTGGCGAAATGCATTATTTTCGCACTCCAAAGTTTTACTGGCTGGACAGGTTTTTGAAAATGAAACATGCAGGATTAAATGCTGTGGCAACGTAAGGTGAAATTTTGCTTCCTTAACCTATAAATCTACAGGTTCTCCCCTCCCTGGTAATTTTTTAGGTTATTCCTTTTCTAGGGTTACAGAGAGAGGTGACAGATTGGGAGGGAAGGGTCAGGTGGTTTTATCCTTCAGGAAGCTCTCTTACAATTGAGATCAGCATAAAAAATCTCCCTATTTTATCACTGCTTTATTAAACAAATGGGTGATGAGAATTAGGATAAGATCACATAAGAATCTGGTTGATCCTTTAACAACTTCTCCCAACTACCTCCATAGGAAATGCATAGGGACAAATGATAATTTGAATTTTGATATAAGGGTTTAAAGGTTAAGGAACAATGATACATGGTAAGTCATGCACGAGCAGTAAGAAAAATTAAAAGCAAGAGAAAAATTAATTAATTTAAGGAGAATCAATCAAAATACAGTATAATCTACACAAGTAATTGGGATTTTATGCTTTCTGTAAAATAGTATTTGAGAAAAATATATATATTTTGGCTGATTTGATAGTTATTAATTGTTGAAGGTATGTTGCCTGGAACATGCATGAAGCAAAGGAAGGACAGTATGACTTTAGTGGTGACAATGACTTGGTTGCTTTTATTGAGATGGCAAATTCTGCAGGATTACTGGTGTTAGTTAGAGCAGGTGACTGGACTCAAAAAGAGAATCGAGTCATTATACGTTTCTGGAAAACTGCCCACCTACCCCTCCCCTAAGCCTACATTTTCCCAAAGTGAGAAGTAAGTGTTAATGTTGGTGTAGGGGAGGGGGAAGCTAAGGTGGGCAGTTTCCCAGAGACGTATAGTGATCCGAATCGGATCAATAATATTTTGTGGCTACAATAATTTTAAAATAATTGTAGTGTAGTACATGTATATTTTATAGTTAAGATGAATGCATCTTTATTTTAGCTCCAAAGCAAAGTGATTACAGTTTCAGATAAAAAAGCAATATTTTTAATGCAAATAAGAGTTATTTAAAACTAGTTGTTCTGACATGTGTTATTTCCCAATCTTTCTGCACACTTTGTTTGTTTTCATGAGTTACACGGTTTCATAAAGAAACTTACTTAATGACAATGACAATTACCGGTATGTGCACAGGTGAAGTTATTAAGCCTATGACTCAATGAGGAAATGTCAACTTGCTAAGTAGAGCCAGTTCTCAAAATCTTTCCTATTTTCAGTGGCATCAGCTGCCTCAAAAATCTGTTTCATGAATTTCTCAAACTAAGAAGGTTTTTTGGAACCCAAAACTTTTGGAAGGGTGTTAGCTTATGGCTCATAGCCAGCACTATCTTGCTTTTATTCTGAACAGAATTAGCAGCTCGTTGAGTCAGACATCTCTCTCAGGAGTGTGCAACTCAAGGAGATGGCTGAAATTTAGGTTTATAGCTTATGACATGAAGTATCAAGATGGTGTGCGTGCATAAAATAACACATATTTTATTAAGCCAGCTTCTTTCTTACACAGGTCCTTACATCTGTGCCGAGTGGGATTTGGTGAGCCTCTTTTAGCTAATTTATTTATACAGTTAACAGTAATATTGTCATACCTCCATTGAATGGTGGCAACTGTTGGGAAGGGAACATTAGAAGCCATTTAATAAAAATTGAGCCGCTAAGTAGAGGGTGTCTGCTCAATAGGACGCCACTTAACAAAGGAGTAACATCAATTTTCATCCTAACAATATCAAAATGTAAGAATTTATGAGGATTAATGTAATAATTCCTAAAGAAAAAATGATTGGTTTGATCTTTTTTAACAAATCCTCCCAACTTACCCTGTGAGGAAATATATGGTGATAAGTGTGGAGAATTACTTTGTATGTGGATATTGGGACTTAAAGGTTGATGTTGGGCAAAGCTTCTAAGGCAACATAAAAAGGAGACACTAGGACCC